GGGCCCTACATTTGTGCAATCTAAAGGGGGATGAAGAAAACCAACAGAAAAATGGAACAGAAGAATACGACCCCCTTTATAAAATAAAGCCTCTCTATACCGACTTCATCACTACCTGCAAAACGTTTTATCAACCGAATCAGCATGTTTCAATTGATGAGAGGATGGTCGCAACCAAATCCCGCATTGGGCTTACACAGTACGTGAAGGCCAAGCCCACTAGGTGGGGCTTTAAGCTTTTGTTCTGGCTGACTCGCACACAGGCTATACATGGAATTTCTCTGTGTATGAGGGGAAAAGGGCCACCCAAAGCGACAAAGGGCTCAGTTATAACTCTGTCATGTCCCTGTTAGACTTTCCCCTGCTAGGCACTGGATACAAATTGTGTGTTGACAATTTTTACACAAGTCCAGAGCTGTTCAAAGACCTAGCAGGGCTACAGACGGGTGCATGTGGCACAATCCGAACAAACAGGAAAGGCTTTCCAAAGGCCCGAGAAAACGACATTCTCAAAAAAGCAGAAAGGGGAACCATCAGGTGGCTAAGGAAGGATGGCCTTCTTTTTGTGAAATGGATGGACACAAGGGAGGTGGTCATGTGTTCCTCCACGAACACCGCTTATGAAGGAGACACTGTGAACAGAAGAGTGAAGGTGAACCAGTGTCAGTGGGTGAGGAAGAGCATACCCATTCCTGGGTCTGTACTTGAGTACAATAAGTACATGGGAGGGGTTGATCAGTCAGATGCACTGATCAATTACTATAATGTGCTACACAAGACAAAGAAGTGGTACAAGAAGCTGTTCCAACATCTCTTGGACATGGCCATCATTTGTTCCTTATGTAGGATGAATGCATTAACAATGGCAAAGTCTTTGCTGCCACTGACCCAGAAAACATTCTGGGAGAAGCTCATGAAGGAGCTTCTTGAAACAGCCCAACCTGAAACGACTCCACAACAGCCTTCACAAATGTGCATGCCTGCATATTTCATTTCATTTCATTTTTTTCATTTATTATTTCACCCACACATAAAATCAAGACAAAATGGCACAGACTAAATGGCACATATGGTCATGTGTGAATCAGGTCTCCCAGAGAAGCTATCCAAAGCTTATAATAAGGAGCCTGGGACATAATAAAATAATACATTACGAACAAATACTTAAACTAAACACCAGTCACACAACAATAATATCATACGAAAATACACAATAAACATAAGACACACAAAAAATAGATCAGGACAATGCTTTTAGGATCAACTGCAGTCTAGGTAGGCTACTGGAAAGGTTATAGATATAAACGTAAAAGTTCCTTTTTTAGTGTTTTCTTAAAGATGGATACAGATTTCAACACCTTCAGCCTGCCATCTAGCTCATTCCAAATCTTTGGGCCTCTACTTGTAATGCTCAAATTTGCACTTTTAAGTCTTCTGGTTTTACCAGTGATCAGATGTTTGTTCCTGGTGGCATGAGCATGAAGCAGACTACTAATTGGAATGAGCTGTGATAGCCTACTGTTTGTAACATTAACTACTTGGTGCACAATGCACGCATTGTGGTATATGTTCAACTCAGTAAGCCGGAGAAGACCTAAGCGGTGAAAGAGGGGTCTTGTAGGGGTATTGTACCAAGACCACGATATAGCTTGTATTATCTACTTTTGTAGACTTATTAATTTATTTAAGTGACTCGGGTAGGTATTACACCAAATTACGTTACAATAACTAATGTGAGGTTCGAACAAGGTTTTGTACAGGGTAAGAAGAGCAGGTAATGTGAGATAATGCCGTATTCTGAAGAACAGACCAACATATTTTGAAAGCTTCAGTGTCTAGTGATCAATGTGGCATTTAAAGTTTATCAATGTGAACCCCCAAGAACTTTGTAGAAGTGGTTGGTAGTATCTAGAGGTGGGCGATATATCGTTTAGACGATAATATCCAAATTGTTGTCTGGACGATATGCAAAATCGGGATATCGAATATTTCATAATTTGTACAATCCGACCTCCCAAACATGAAAAGAGCTGAAGGAAGTTAAAGACAAAACAAATAACACACACTATAACCTTCTAAACTATTATATGTTGCTATTTTAATACTGTAGGGGTTTGTTTGACTGTATTTTATGTTTTTTTTTGTTTTTGTTTTTTCAAAATCACGATCGTTCCTCAATTGCACGAGAGTAAGCTGCTACTAATTTGCAATACAACTACGGAGTTCTTACCTGTGTGTTATGACGTTTCTTAGGTTGAAGCAACAATCCAAAAACGTAAAGAATAAAGCCGATGTAAGGTTATTAAAATAGCTGATAGAAAAGGCAAAATATGCGTTGTTTGCAGAAAACTGAAGTCTGAAGTTAAAAAGTTTTTAAAAATTGCGTTGTGTAATGATGAGTTCAAAAGATGGAATACAATTTCCGAGATCCACTAACAGGGCTTCTTTTAACTTCAAGTAAATAGGTAGTCACATTGTTGTTGGTCTAATAGAAGTACTGTTTGCAAATAGGTGTGTAACGGTACGCGTATTCGTATTGAACCGTTCAGTAGCTTTCGGTTCGTTACGCATACAAACCGAACCGTTGGACCATTTTTTCCTGCCGAACAAAATCCTCGTTGGCGCGACCACCATGACGTTGCACAACATCAAATGGCAAACGTAATAAAAGCGGAACGAAACTGCGCTATTATTTTGTGCTTCACGGACCGTTTCAGTTCGGACCATCAATGTCAGTGCAGCGCACGCCGACTCGTGATGAAGCGACCCTGTTATACCATAGACAGTAAGTTATACACAGCGCTAAGATATCCAGAGAAAACATTAGAATTCGCCACTGAAGTAGCTACTAATAACATCACTGCGAGATCTAGTGAGAGGCATGCACATTTCTCTGTTATTAACGGATCAAACGTGGAAACCAGGAGAAACATTTTGCCATGAATGAACTTATAGGCAAATCTACGTTCACAGATCAGCAACATTCACCATGGATTTAATATAGTAACACTAACTGTAACCATGGAAGTTTGGCAGAAATAGTAAAATGCTTTCAGGTAGGCAGGCCTACATCACACATCTTTTTTTTTTCCAGCACTTCAAAACTCAAATATTATCATATTTAAAAGTTATTTTTAATGTGATGATGACCAAAACATTATTTGTTCATCCTTCAAAGATGACCCCCATTTATAAAACTAAAGGTTTCAAGATGTAAGAAATATTTTTTCTTTTAATAAATAGGAAATTTATCTGTTATTTCTTTCTTTTTGCTGTATCGAAAACGTACATCACTGTATCGTATCGAACCGAACCGTGAATTTTGTGAACTGCCTATTTGCAAAGCACAAAGTAAATTTAATACGTACATATATTGTACTGAAAAAGCACTGTTCTTGTATTACAATAAATATTTAGTACAGTAACTTGGTTCATGTTTAAATCAATAATGTCTCATATCTTTATGTACTAGTAATTCTATACAATGATAGGTAAAATGCAGCAAGTCAAAAGACCAACTGGACCTTCTTTGCCAGTTTGCACACATTTCTTTAAAGGATTGCAAAAATATCGTCTGAATATCGATATCGAGATATTGGAAAAAAATATCGAGATATTCATTTTTGTCAATATCTCCCACCCCTAGTAGTATCTCCTCATCATCTACATTGAGGCAAAACTGTTTTGTAGCTGATGCCCTTATATTTGATTGAAACACTATATAGTTAGTTTTTTTAATGTTGAGGGATAATTTATTGCACTTGAACCAGATTAAAAATTTTTGTAGTTCTACATTTAAAATAATTCGTAAATCACTATAATTTTTATGTGACAAAAACAAATTGGTGTCGTCTGCAAACATCACCTTTTGAAATACTTGAGAGGAATTCACAAAGTCATTTATATATATGTTAAAAAGTAATGGACCCAATATTGAGCCTTGGGGAACCCCATATTTAAGTTCTTTCATTTGAGATATATGGTTATTAATCATCACATATTGTTTCCGACCATGTAGGTAACTTTTAAACCAGTCAAGTGCTACTCCTCTAGTGCAAATTTATTGGCAAGAAGATGCTGCCCGGGGACGCAAAAGGTGTCTGAGGTGCCACACCAAAACACTAGTTTACTGCACAAACTGTAACGTGTCACTTTGCTTTGTGCCCTCCAGGAACTGTTTTCAGTACTGGCACACGAGCCCAAAAAACTAAGGAGAAAAGAAATGTGCCAAGCACCAACTGATTCCAGGACTGGTACAAAAGCCCAAACAATTCCAATTCCCACTCTTAAAAATAATTGTTGTTGTTTATACTTATAAAAGTGTAATATATCTGATTTTGTTTGTTTGGTGTTGTGTAAGTAGTTGCTTATCAAGGAAAAAAAACAGAGAAATTAATTGAATTGAGTTTTGAGTTTGGAGAATTGAGTTTTATTGAACAATTGGAAAGTGAAATGTAACAGCCAGCATGGTTGTACAATAAAATAACATAAACCGGACAAACTTGTTTGGAGAGGTTTTTGGACACTAGACTAAACAAAAAGGCTCCCTTTGTTCCAAGTGCTGTAACTTTTGATTACTTTATGCTATCATCATAAAATAACGATCCAGGTGCAGATCACACACAGGGGAACATCACCAAAAAAGAATTATTTTGCTACCTTATTTCCTTCCTGAGTTATTGCATGTCAAATAAGAAAGATATGTAAAATTATTAAAACAATAAATAATATTTTTGTCTTTTATGAATAGGGGAACATCACCAAAAAAGAATCATTAGATTGTCCAAAAGTAATAGAAATTTATATTTTCTAAAAATATCGAAAGTTTCCTAACAAATGATATCTACCTTTTGACTCTCCTTACTATAGTTTTGAAGTTATTAGTCTTTACTTTTTTGTGTGTCACTCAGACAAAACAACTCTAAAAATGCCTTCAGGGCTTAAACATACATTCCACCATGGAATGAATGAAGCATATGGATGTCTCTTTCACCGTTTAGGTACACCCAGAAGGCTAAGAAAAAAAAGCATGTGCGTCAGGAGGACCGTGGAGAGCACCCAGGAAGCCGAGTGGCTCTGCTCCTGGACAGCAGGCGGCAGAGAGGTGCTTGACCACAATTTGCTATCATTTTGGTTCAATACAAATCATTGATTAAGAGACAGCACATGTCACTGTGAAAAGTATTTATTAAGTGTAAATTATTTTATTGTAATCCCTATTGACATTGTAACTTGGTTCTTCATCACTTTACATCCTTGTTCACAGTCCAGATCATATCATCCTTCTCTCCCACAGACTATACATGACTCACGGCCAAGCAGCCCAGGACCCCGAAGTACCCCCTGAGTGTGTTTGCCTCAGACTTGCCAAAGAGTTTGAGCAGTCACGCAACAGGCCAAATGACACAAAGGGGAAAACCTTGCCCATCCCTCAGTCCAATGTCAGCGTCTACAGCCACATCAGACAGCTGCTGGAGGACAGCAGGGTTGTCCTGGACCAGACGAACCTCGTTCTGGTGACGGTTAACAACACCACAGTCTCTTCATGGTATGTGTTATTTCATTTACCTTTCCCATACAGTCAAGACCGTATATAAAGATTTAACCTCCAGAAAAACCTCCACATGCATGCTTGTTAGAAAGTATGTAATAACATTAGAGAGGGCGGATAGGCTTACATGTATAAAATAATGAATGTTTGTCTTGTAGGCTGCTTAGGAGGGATAAAAGGAAGGACAGGGACATGCTGCTGCAAGGCACTGTACTTCCCAAACAGCTGCACCTGGCCAAGGAGCCTCTCCCTGCAATGAACACACTTCCAGCTGCCCCTGTGCAACATGCACATGAAGCGATGACATTTGAGGAGCCTGAAAACCACGAGTGGGAAGCTTTCCCCCGCCAGCGCACTCTAGCAGCAAGTAAGCCTGTGTTCTCTCCGCCATCTCCACCTCCCCAGTTCCCTCCACAATTTGGGCCAGCTCCTCCGTTCCAGCCAGCTCCTCAGTTGCAGCATGCTCCTCCATTTCCGTATGCTCCTCCATTTCTGCATGCTCCTCCATATCCGCATGCTCCTCCATTTCTGCATGCTTCTCCATTTACCCATGCTCCTCCATTTACCCATGCTCCTCCATATCCGCATGCTCCTCCGCTCCTCCATATCCGCATGCTCCTCCATATCCGCATGCTCCTCCATTGCAGCAAGCTTCTCCAGAGTGCCTTCCATCCCAGCCAAGGCAACGTGCCTGGAGGCTGAATAAAGCTGCCCAGGAGGATGAGGAGCTAGTGTCAAGGGGGGAACCGCCACGGAAGAGGCTGACAAAGGAAAAGTACCACTACACCTGCAAGGGGTGTGGCCAGGACAAAAATAAAAGGACTGGACACACCCAGCTGAAGGAGTGGTGGTACTGTCCAGCCTTAGGACTGACCCTGGATGATTGGAGGAAGAGTGTATAATTGCTGTCACCATTACTTGTCTCTCTCTCTGTCATTTGTCTGTCTATCTCTCTGTTGTTTGTCTCTGTCTCTCTGTCTGTCTGTTACAATAAAGTTTCATAATTTTATTTGAGCCAAGAACAGACTTCACGTTTTTATTTATTTTCCTCTTGAATACCAGAATGTGATTGTTAAAACTAAAGCCAGAATTACTTGCAGAATCATTTTACATTTATACACAAAACCCAACACTCTTTGCTTTAAATGCATTCATGTCCATAATTGCATAATCACAGGGTTATTACTGTGGTGATTTATATGGAAAAGAGTTCCTGTGTAAAAAATGACTACGTTACCCAAAATGCATTGCATGTGTACTTCCGGAATCCACTACGATATTGCCACAGCACAGGTTCGAATCCTGCAAGACACATGAAAATTATATATAATATATAATTATATATAATAAACCTTGCAATAAGTGCAGAACTGTGTGTAAACAATATTGAGAAGATAAGAGAGTAAATAAACATTTATATAGTGTATGTTTTCCTCCTTTTTTCTCCATTTCTTTTTCTCTCTGAACCTAAATGCAGTGGTGGAAAGTAACTATTTACAAATACTTTCGTTACAGTACTTGAGTAGATTTTTCGATTTTTTCTACTTTCTTGAGTATAATTAAATTGTGGTACTTTTACTCTTACTTGAGTAGAATAAAAAGAAAGTATTCAACTTCGCTACATTTATTTTTCACCAAAAGTACAAAGTACTTTGACAAAGGTGCCGACGGAGCACCAGGGAAAGCTGACATTTGACAGACACTTTTCAAACTACTGCGGTGGAGCCCTGCGCTTCAGCCAATAACAGTCAGATCTGGAGCGCTTCAGCCAATAACAGAGAGGTCTGACTCAGGTGCAAAACCAATCAAAACCTCCAGTTCGGCTGGGGGGCGGGGCACTCGTGTTTTGAATCAGTATCGCTTATGTTTCAATTCAGTGAATATGCTTATATTCTGATTTTAAATTTTAATTATGGCAACTCCTGAAATGGGTCATCCCATTGATAATACCAGAGCACTGAGCAGTTGAAGTAAATGAAAAACTCGGCTCATAACATGGACACAGTTATTGCACTGACGGAGCAAGAACAATGTATGTGTTTAAAATACATGCACACAGTTCAATTAAATGGTAAATCTCGCCCTCTTTAATAACATAGTTAAACGAGTGAAACAGTGAAATAAGATCGCAATATTTATCTGTCAATCAGATGAACGTAAAAGTGTAGTTCGTTACTATAGCAACAATGGGCTCCCAGCACATTTTCGGTAGAACGAAAAAAAATGAGAATTTAATTTAACATGGTAACCCGTACCCCACTTAATTTTTTTATTTTTTTTACTGGCACTTTTTTATTCATTCTGTTGTAAATCTCTCTATTTTTATGGGACCTCTCACTTATTCTTCTTTGCTTTCAATTATGAAATTTAACTGAAACATTTAAATGATCTTACCTGGACTTACTTTTCAAAATCACAATACATGAAATACAATGAAATTTGTTTCATGTTGCTTCTTAACACAGAGTGAGTATATATTATTTTATTACATTCTATGATACAAGCTATGTTGATTAGCATTGCTATAAAGAATTAGTTCACCCAAAAATGTTATTTACCCCATGATTTACTCGCCTCAAGTCCTCTTAGGTGTACATAACATTCTTATTTCAGACGAATACAATCACAGTTATATTCAAAAATGTCCTGGCTCTTCCAAGCTTTATAATGGCAGTGAATGGCTGGAAAAAAATTGAAAAAACAAAACAAATTACTAATTACAAATTGCACGGCTCCAGTGGGTTACTATAGGCCTTCGGAAACGAAGCCCTGGGTTTTTGTAAGAAAAATACCCATATTTATTACTTTATAATCTAAAATAACTTGCTTCCGCCAGACGACCGTACGCATACTACGCAATTCGACTTGCACCACACGAGTAAAAGTGAAGCGCTTTTATCACGAATGGATGCACTTTTTTGGGCTTCAAATTTTCTCCAGCCATTCACTGCCATTGTAAAGCTTGGAAGAGTCAGGACATTTTTTAATATAACTCTTGATTGCATTCATCTGAAAGAAGAATGTCATATCTAGGATGGCTTGAGGGTTAGTAAATCATGGGCTAATTTTCCTTTTTGGGTGAACTATCCCTTTAAATACATACATCATTCTTATGAAAATACCTGAGATAGCTTGATGAACACATATATTATTGCTATCATGTGTTTGTCTTCATGTTTCAGTCAAAACGTCTCTGTTTGCATGTTATTATAAAAGGCATTTCCTTTATATAGTTTAATACTTCTATGAATCTCACTTGTGGACTTTCTGCGTGAGGGATGAATCAGTACTGGGCTTCCAGTTTGAAAGCAATACTTTTACTTAAGTACAATTTGTTAGTACTCTTTCCACCACTGCCTAAATGAAAGGTTTATTCATTGTTCTCTCTTCACTCAAAGAACAAAAAGTGTGCTGCTTTCCTAATTTTGGGGGGAGAGAATTATGGGTATCCTGGTAGCAAAGGGGCGGAGTTATAACGCTCAATCTCCAAGAATATGTTTGAGTTCAGGATCGATTCGACGAGCCCCCTTGAAATGTATATAAACTACAATGTATACTGCTTTAGTCAGACTTGATGACTGCAGCTACCGACAGCTCGTGTTCTCAATAAAGAATCCTGCTGAAGATACAACCAAGTCTCCTGGTCTTCGCTTCTGAGTTTCCAACACTAATTAGGCTGGCTAATTTTGAAAGTTTTCAATGTCAATATTGCTTGTGTATGGAAGCATTTGGGTAGCAATATTCAATTTGAAATGTAATATGCAAAATGACAATGCAATATGTAATAAAATGACAATGCAATATGTAAAATGGCTATGCATTTCTGTATTTAAATTGACATTTTCCAATACATTTGTCAAACGTTTGGTCCAAAATGAAAATGATAATTCAATTATATAATTTACATTTGCCATTTCATACACTAGTTTTAATATGTAAATTGAATACATATTTTAATGCTTTATAAGTTGCTAAATTAAAATGTATCACAGAAATTATTAGATATGTTTAATATATTCAAGCAAAAACTGTAGCAAAATTATCATTTAAATGTTATTTTTCTTAATTGCATTTACACTCAAAGTTAAGACACTCGCGATTGCATTTTCATTAAGTGTCCCGCAATGAATGTAGCAAAATTCAATGTACAAATTGAAAATGCATTCCGAGCCGATCACGTCCCACGATATTAAAAGAATATTTATAGGTCATTCTGAGGTCACCCAGCCCCTCACATGCTCCAAATATAATAGTCTCGTTTGCTTGTGTCGGTTAAAGTTTTGTTTCGGTTTTTAGGATATTAGACATTTAATTTCAGATGATGACGTCACCAACCCCCCGACCTGCTCCACATTCACCCAAAATAGTCTTGTTTGTTTGTGCTTGGTTTGTGCCAGTAAATGTTTATTTTTTGCTGCTTCGGTTTCTTAGATATTAAAATAATATTTATTCGTCATTCTGAGGTCACTCAGCCCCCCACATACTCCAAATTCTTGTTTGTTTGTGCCGGTAAAAAAAAAAAAAAGTTTGCTGCTTCGTTTTTTTTTATATTAGACACTGAATTATAGACGATGACGTCACCAGCCCTTTCTATGAATTTGACCTGTCAGATTCCGTGATCCTACTGTACCTATAGATTTATCAATATCTGATCAATATGCTTAATAAAATAGAAATGGGAGATGGTCATACATGTACATCACATGAGTCAATTTATTGAACATTACAGTTATGAAGAAATAAAGAGCGGACACATTTTAATAGACCTATGCATTTGTAAGGAAAAACTGTATGATCTCCAACATTATAGGGTAATTATTGTTAATAGTAATAAGAATAAAGATAAGGAGGGGGAGGGGCCAACTTCACGCAGTGATTGACAGGGTGGGAGGGGGCGGGCACGTGAATGGTGACGACATCATCTGAAATTAAATGTCTAATATCCTAAAAACCGAAACAAAACTTTAACCGACAAACAAACGAGACTATTATATTTTATTACATATCTGAGCATTTCTGTAAAACATTTTCATTTTCATTTTGCAACTTATAAAGCGTTAAAATCGGTATTCAATTTACATATTAAAACTAGTGTATGAAATGGCAAATGTAAATTATATGATTGATTTTTCATTTTCTTTTGGCACCAACGTTGCACAAATGTAATGGAAAATGTAAATTTAAATACAGAAATGCATTGCCATTTTACATTGCATTGTCATTTTGCATATTACATTTCAAATTGAATATTGCTACCCAAATGCTTCCATACTTGTGATCTTAGTATGTATTTGTATTCTTTTTGTTTACACTGTTGCATGATCTTCTTTTATAGGCTATGAGGAAAAACTCTCCATGCACAGTGAGAACAGAGCTCAATGCTGCTAACTGGGAGAGCAGCTGGAAAACTAGAAGAGAAGAACAGCAGAACACTATTAATACAGATGACTGTATTATTTTTCGTCAATAACCAAGACAAGCAAAGACTGATGATGAGGGCTCTGAGCAAACACACCAGTCAAGACGCATGACTGCACATTGGAATTTACCGAGTTCTTCATGTAATGTTGGGCATTTACTGTACACAGAACTTCTAATAATAATTTATGTGGATGCTATTTATAAACCTGTTAGATTTTGATGTTTTAGTTTTGAGATTAATAGAATTTTATGTTTTAACAATGTTATAGCTAAGCTTTTTT